AACATTTGAATTAGCCAACCACATATATCCTCTAGGCAGGAGACAAATATGTCTTCTCTGAAAAACCAGATTACCCCAACAGAAGGAAGAAAAAGAAAAACAAAACTTAAAGATACTGACCTCAGGGATTCTGAAAAAAGGTTAGCCCTACAGTGAAGACTAAGGAGCCTTGGTGGTGCAATGATTATGTGCACACTGCTAACCAAAAGGTAAGTGGTTCAAACCCACCAGTGGCTCTGCAAAAGAAAAGACCTGGCAATCTGCTCCCCTAAGATTACAGCCTAGGAAACCCTATGGGGCAGTGCTACTCCGTCACATAGGATAGTTATGAGTCACAATCGACTCAATGGCACACAACATGAACAACACAGTGAAACCTAAGAAGCACTGGTGGCACAAACAACTCAGCTCTCAGCTGCTAACCAAAAGGTTGGTGGTTCAAACTCACCCAGCAGCTCCACAGCAGAAACACCTAGCGATCTGCTTTGTAAAGAATACAGCCAGGGGCTGGGGTGGGATGGGAGCCAAGATGGTGGATTAGTCAGACACACCATTCCATCCCTCCGCAGCAGAGATTTGAAAAACCAGGTAAAACAGATACAGATGTCAATCTTGGAGCCTTAAGCTTCAAATGAAGGGATAAAGAAATAGATCGAACACAGAATGGAAGACAAATCTGACTGAAAACAGCAAACAAGAAGGGATGGAACAGAGATGCCTATCTAACTAGCCCGGCACAACGTGGCCATCTTGAAACAAAGACAGCAGTGATCTTGGGTGAGGCGCACAAGAGGCAACTTCACAGAATTGCCATCAGGACACAGAGAAATCGAGAAGACATACCCTGAGTGAAACCAGGTGGACAGCAGCACAAACCACCCCCATCCCTGCAGCCCAGACTGCCAGGGACCGTGGTATGAACCACTCCCCCTTTTCCCTCCCCACCTGGCTGTCCACCCTGCCTTTCCCACTCGCCCAACCACGCCAAGCGCCAGCAAGCCACTATGGCAGACCCAGCCGCCCACCCCGTCCTATTAGCCTTCCCGACCACACCATATGCCGGCAGGCCACTCCAGCATGGACCCGGCAGCCCACTCTACCTTTCCTACCCACCTGATCGCGTGCACGTGCACATGTGTTTGCAAGCTAGCCCACCCATCGCCCACCCCATCCACCAGGTAAGCGTCAGCAACTGCATGCCCATGCACTTGCATGCCTGTTACCCATCTCCCTGCCCTCACTGATTTCAGTGAGCAGAGGCACCAGCTCTCTCTGTGCCCAGTCACCCTCGCCAGGGCCTGCAGTCCAGCAGCACCTCCTACTCCCTTCAGCCATGTGTGTTGGGATCCGAGGACTGATGGCACGCACTCCCCCATGGCGTGCTATAGCAGACAGGGATACGTCCTCCAACTGGGCACCTCTGGACAGCACTGCCCTCCACATCACCTTCCCCCCATAATCAGATGCTTATGCCCACTCTGATCATCCTCACCCAGCCCAGCCTGCCCGGAACTGTCAGTGAGAATTTCCATCCCCCCACCTGGTGACTGATGACCCGGCCACCCTCGCCCGTAACACCTGGCAACCGACACTACACACACACACAACATGCAATCCAGCGACCAGTGTGAACGCTCCCTGCACTCACACCCAGCTGACTGGCCAGGCAGACACATCATTTCACCAGAAACACCACTACATCCTCAGCTGCCTCGCAATACCAGTGACAAAGAACCGTGCTCACACACCAGTACTGCCCCACCTACCTGGAGGCAGGAGGTGAGAGTTCTCACGTAGCCAGACTAGCACACATGCCCTGCCTCCTCAGATATATCAAAACAAAACAAAATATCAGGAGGCAGCAAACATAACAATGAGACTTTGATGCGTCGGAGACAACAGACAATATCAAATCACATAAAGAAGTAGGTTTAGATGGCTCCAGCAAACAACCAAATAAAAAACCACAAAACCTTGCAGAGGAAAAAATGGTAATATAAGTACCTGATAAGGAACTCAACAGACTAATACACAGGGTCCTCTGAGAGATCGAGGAAAACAAAGACAAACCCAAAGAAAACACAGACAAAACAATAAAAGAATTCACTAAACAATACAAGAACACCATGACAAAAAAGACAATTAGAAACGGTAACAAAAACTAGATACAAGACTTTAACAATAAAATTTCAGAAATAGACAACAGGAGGATATAGAAGTAGAATTGAATTACTGGAAGACACACTTAGAGAACTGAGAACAAATCCCTTGACACCAATTTGTTTTAGGAAAAATCAGAAAAAAGAATCAAGAATAATGAAGAAAGCCTAAGAATCACGTGAGACATTGTCAAGAGGAAAAATGTACACATGATTAGAGTTCCAGAACAGGGAAAGGAAATGGAAAACACAGAACTGTCGAAGATTTGCTGACAGAAAATCTCCTTTATATCATGAAAGATGGGACGATATCCACCAAGAAGTTCAGTGAACCCCTTACAGGACAGACTCCAAAAGAAAGTCGCCAAAACATAACATAATCAAACTTAACAAAACCAAGGACAAAGAAAGAATCCTGAGAGCAGCTCAGGAAAAATGAAAAGTCACCTACAAATGGTCACAAGTAAGACTAAACTCTGATTACTCAGCAGCAACTATGCAGGCAAGAAAGCAATGGACTGACATATACAAAGCCTTGAAAGAAAAAACTACCAGCCAAAAACTACAAATCTAGCAAAACTGTCTCTCAGATACAATGGCAAAATTAGGACATTCCCAGATGTAAAAGGACAACATCAAAACAAAAAGGGGAATAAATGGTGCAGTTATAGAATTTCATATGGAGAGGACATCAAGGCAACAAGGAAATAAAAAAAAGACTGTTTTAAACTTGGACGATTAAGGTAAACTTCAAGGTAACCTAGAGAAAGTTAGCAAAACTACTCACCAAAATAAAAAAGAAGAAAAACATAAAGTCTCAATAATCACAAAATCAACAACAAAAGAAACGAAAAGAACATTCAAAAACACAAGAAATCAGCACAGAAAATTGAGCAGAACAAAGAAACAGTCAACACCACCAAAAAACAAACAAAATAACCACAGTAAACACATACCTATCGATAATCACAGTGAATGTAAATGGCTCAATGGCACCAGCATACAGAGATTAGCAGAATGGATTAAAAAACAAAAACACAACCCATCAATATGCTGTCTTCAAGAGACACACCATAGACACAAAAACAAAAAAATTAAAACTCCAAGGATGGAAAAAAAAATACCAAGAAACAATAATCAAAAAAGAGCAGGAGTGGCCATATTAATCTCTGATAAAACAGACTGTAATGCAAAAACCACCATAAAAAGAAAGACATTATAAAATGATTAAAGGATCAATCCATCAAAAGGACATAATCATAATAAATATATACACACCCAAAGACATAGTGTCAATATATACAAAACAAACTCTAACAGGACTGAAAAGAAAAATAGACAGTTCCACAATAATGGTACGAGACTTCAACAAAACACTTTGAGTGAAGAACAGAACTAGAAAAAAACTCAACAAAGATAATGAAGATCTAATTGTCACAATCAACCAACTTGACCACATGACCATATAAGATCACTTCACATTACAGCAGCAATCTTTTCCAACATACGTGGATCATTCTCCAGAACAGACCACATTTTAGGCCACAAGGCAAGCATCAAATAAAATCCAAAACGCAGAAACAATACAAAGCATTTTCTCTGATCACAACTCTATAAAAGTTGAAATCAATAACAAGAGAAAGGAAAAAAAAATCAAATACATGGAAACTGAATAGCACCTTACTTAAAAACCACTGGGTAATAGAAAAATCAAAGATTAAAAAAAAAACTTCTAGAATCAAATGAGAATGAAAACACATCTTACCAAAACCTTTAGGACATAGCAAAAGCAGTGCACGGAGGAGAATTTTAGCAATAAACACACACAATCAAAAAATAAGAAAGAGCCACAATCGAAACAACAAACTTCTCCAAAAGAGAACCTACAAGACAGGGAAAATATTTTTGGCTATGACGTATCTGACAAGGGTCTAATCTCTAAAATATAGAAAACTTCAATACCTCAACAATAAAATGACAAACAATTCAATTAAAAAATGCACAGAGGATACAAACAGACACTTCACCAAAGACAATGTTCAAGCAGCTAACAAACGTACAAAGAAATGCTTGAAATCATTAGCAATTAGAGAGATGCAAATCAAAACTATAATGAGACACCATCGTACTCCAACATTACTGGCACTAATCAAAAATACAGAAAATAATAAATGTTGGCAAGGTTGTGGGGACACTGGAGCTCTTATGCACTGCTGGTGGGAATGTAAACTGGTGCAACCACTATGAAAAATGGTATGGCACTTCCTCAAAAAGCTAGTTATAGAAATACTATATGATCCAGCAATCCCACTCCTAGGTATATATACCCTAAAGAAATAAGAGCTGTGACACAAATAGACATATGCACACCCACGTTCATTGCAGCATTATTCACAATACCAAAAAGATAGAAACCACCTAAGTGTTAATCAACAGATGAATAGATTAACAAACTATGGTACATACACACAATGGAATACTACGCAACGATAAAGAATAATGACAAATCTGCAAAACATCTCACAACACGGATGAATCTGGAGGACATTATGCTGAGTGAAGTAAGTCAACCACAAAATGACAAATATCGTGTGACATCTCTATTATAAAGTAGCAACGAAAAGTTTTCACACAGAAAAAAGAAATAAAAAAAACATTTTTTGACAGTTATCAAGGATGGGAGAGGGAGAAAGGAAAAACCACCCAAGTAGAGGTACCAACCTTCAAGTCCCTCACATAAACCTACTCCTGTTAAGTATTTATTTTTAAAAATCAACAGTTATCCTATTCTGTTGAATTCTTAAAGACTCTCAGAGAATGCCTAAGATTCTTAAAATAGCTTAAACTATGAGACATTACCAATGATTTCAGTGTCATACAAATTATAAGCAATATGCCATCTTCCTTACCATTTTAAAAAGAAAATTAAAAGAAATCTTCAATTCTACTGATAAAGATAATAACAATCATCTACAATGACAGTGTAGCTTGTTGGCATAAAATTTTCTACCCACAAACAAACATATACTACGGCTCAAAATAAAATCACAACATATAGCAAAAATAGTTTTACTCGGCATTTGTTAGTATAATAGGCTACAAATTCACATGCTTGCAAAAGTTGAGATAAAACAACAATCAGCAAATTTGTAAGTCACCAGGAAGCTGAAGGTTTGGAAAAAAGGTAACTATTTCCACTTTAATCTTGTCACTTCAGTAGTGGTATGGGAGCAGACTCAAGAACAAAAAATGAGAGCAACCAAGGATAATTTACTAAAATTCACCTTAAAAAGATTGAATCTGCCATCTTGGATCTCTGCACCTGGTGTAACTTCCATAGTACAGTCTTCGGCCTAAGTTAAATAACATATTCCCCATTAAGATACCACATAATTTTAAATTAATAGGCCATATAAAGACAAACTAGCTGTGGCTAGTCTGTGACTTGAAACTAAGAACATCAGATAATCATTAATATGAAACTCTGAAAGGGAAGGAAGGGGAAAAAACAAATAAATACGGTAAAGAGAATGGAATTTTTAAATTATCATACAGCATTTAACCACCTTTATAAGGAAAAAGTGATTTATTTGGGGGGGGGTCAAAATGGACAATGGAAAACGCAGGGGTATTCTGGAATATTTACTAATTACCGTAATTTTATTTGTAGTAGAGGTAACTGGTATAACTTCAAGTCCCATTCGTATCCTCTTTTGTTTTTCACAGTAAGCTTTCCAAGTATCTTCATTAAACCCATAGTTAAAATAATCAGAAAGATCAGCACCTAAATATAAAACATACTTTTATTATACAAATATTCCAACTCTTTATACAGCATATAAAACATAATTATAAAAACATAAATTTAGCATTCTCTCAGTCCAATCACTCCTGATTTTATTACTTCTCCAAATTATCACCATAAAGCAAGAGTACTATGAAAAATTTTGATCAAATTTGTTTCCTTTAGAAATGATCTAGAAATAATAAGACAATATGCAAATCTATCTTTACAGCAGTGTTAGGTCACTAGGAAGATTTAATCATATAGGTAACTATTACTCATTTGCTTAAAATAACAAAATGACATTAAAAAATACTCTAAATTGATGTTCAGAAAAAAAACTTTTCTGATAACTGTTTATACTAAAAAAAAAAATTTAAAACAGATACAATCCACAAAAATCTTACCTGGTTTACGCCACGGTTTATCTTCAAAAGAATCCAAATCTACCTCTAAAAGTGGAACTCCATTAATGCTTCCAGGTGCATCAAGGTCTACCCCTTTGACTTTTGTTCCTATTTTATAAAATTACAAAATGGTGATGAAGCTACATTAGCAAGAAGCTGAGGAATAACACAGACAAACAGAAAACAAAATACCTTTTTAATATTCCTGGCACAAGAAATGGCAAGAATTCCAAACAAAGCATTAGAGCAATGTTTACCACAAATAAAAGTATGTGAGGTTAACCTTTATGGTGTGGACATAAGATAAACTGTAGAGAGACTTATCCCTTATAATAAGGGATGCCTGTGCCAATAGGAAGTTGCTAATGTCCATGTTTTAAATCAGTTTTCATACAGCCTGTGAGCTAAGAAAGGTTTTTACATTTTTAAAGAGTTGTAAAACAAACAACAGAAAAGAATGTGTGACAGGATCCATATGTGGCCTACAAAGCCTAAAATGTATGTAGTCCTTTACAGAAAAAGTCTGCTGATCTCTGTGATACATGGTCAAAAACTGCTTTTTAATTGAGCACTAATAATTATTATAATCTAGTTATAATCTAGTCAGATATGTGCCTTATTTTTCTACTGACGCAACTTCAAATACCAATTTTACCTGTAGTTCCATAAACTCTTCCTCCTGTCTTGATGTTAAGATTTACAGGTGCCGTACCATAACTCCTGAAAACAAAACAATAAAAAACACCCTGAGAAACTTTAGGTAAACAAAACAATATATTCAATGTGTACAAATAAATTCAACACCCACACAGTAACTGGATAGACACTGACTCCTACCTTTTAGGAAACATAAACTAATTTTACAAGTTTGTCACTGGCTCAATAAAAAATAAAAACAAGTATTTTAAGTATGACTTATCTTAAATGCCTCCTTGCCACTAACTCAATATCCCACTATAGCTAACTTCACAATAAATTTGGCTGGGAAGGGGAGAACAGTTGATACACCTGTCTTTATTTCCTCACCTCCTAGTTATTCATCATACAGCAATCAAGTTAAGAGTGAAATTTCTCCACCCTATTGCCAAATCCACTGGCTTCATTTTAGTCCTTCCTACATTTGATATTGTTGATAAATCCTCTTTCAAATACCCAGAGTACTTGTCCAGATTATTCATTCAATTATACGGAGTTAAAAAATAAATCTACGGTGAAAGCAGAACAGTGCCCAGTGGTGGTAGGTGGTTAACAATTCAGAGAAAACAAAAGAGAAGCCTCTAGAATGCTAGCAATGTTCCATATACTTATCTGGGTGGTGGTCACCTGAATGTATACATTTAAAAACTTTATTTTAAATGAAGTATAACATACATGGGATAAAGTTAAAAAAACAAAAAACACACAAAATCTGAAGTCTGACAAACCTATGGCAAAATTTATGTTTGGCTGGAGTCAAACAAGCCTATGACAAATTTATATATTGTCAATTATTAGTTTTGTACCCCTGGCCAAGTCATTTAGACCCCATGAGCCTCACATTCATTTTCTGTAATATGGGTTTATAGACAGTTCCCTACTTTTCTACATAATGCAATCTTGTACATGAGTGGGAAAATCAAATATAATAAGTAAAATAGATTTACATGTCATGGGGAGTGTGATGGTTAATTTTATGTGTCAACTTGACTACGCTATGGTTCCCAGTGGTTTTGCTAAACACTAGACTAGTTGTTGTTCCACAATGTAATCTAATGCGCTGTAATCATCTTCCATAATGTAATGTAATCAATCAGTTAACTGAAAGGGAAGTTTCTTTAGAACATGGTCTGCCTTCAGACTACAAATAGATATTTCAGATCTCTCTCTCTCTCTCCCCATTCTGTACTCTTCCTGTACTGACCTATGGATCCTGGGATGCCAAACCTGCAGAAGTCTCCAGCCTGCCACATGACCTACAGATTTTGGACTTGCAAGCCCTCCACAATCCTGTGAGCCAGTAAGGGTTTCCAGCCTATTGCCTGACCTATGGATTTTGGACTTTTCAGCCCCCACAATTATGTGAATCAATCCTAAGACAGGGATGTTAGAGGGAGGTGATAGAGGTGAGTTAGTAAGGAAGAAGGCTAAACTCCCACCAAGCAAAAAGGTATTATTAAGATCCCAAATTATAGATGTTTTCAATGATATATTTCTGACATTATATACATGTTATTTAATTTGGTTCCTTCCCTCCCAAGTTCAGCCAACTGGACTTATGAAGATTCACTGCTTTTGGTCTGCCTAATAATAACCTCCATATTTTGGAATAACCTAGGTCAGTCATTTCCATTAGCACTGTCATTTTTCTGGTTTCTACTTTTTAAAAAAATCAGGGCAATAAAATATTCAAGTAATTGTATAAAGCTCCACTGCTATAAGTGCAAAAAGTACACAGTAGTCCAAACTAAACTGTTACTTTCAAGCAGTACTATCATCACCAACTTGAAATGTTTAATCATCTCACTGACTGCTTAATTCATTTAGTAAGTGTTTATTGAGAACCAACAATGTGTCAGATACAGTTCTAGGCTGAAGAGAATGAGGAACTGGACAAATGATTTCTGCCCTCTTGATACTTACATTTTAACAATCCTAATACAACAGAGCAAAAGCAGTTTTGAGGTATCTATATAAGATGTACAAAAGTGATTGGAAAACCAAATGTATAAAAATCAAGGACTATCTGTAAATGGTCCTTCAACAGAATAAAATAAAACTATAAAAGGCTTAGTCCTAAATGCTCAATAAATGCATTTCATTGTTTCCCACCTAGCTACTTTCCCTAACACATTTTGGCTTTTAAAACATCACTTTTCTTTTTTAAGCCACCAAGCCTTCATATTCATTGTGTATGAAGAAGTTTAGCTGTATGGAAAATGGCACTTAAGCAAATGTGATATACCGTCCAACAGACCCTCAGGTGCTAGATCCTGGCTGTTACGTAGGGACTTCAAAACAAACACATACATTTATTTTAACATACTCCTTCCACACTACCCATACACATTAATACATGTATGTCATATACTCAACTGCTCTAGAAACCACCAAATCGTTTTTGAATCCTTTGTCTTCCTGTCCAACCACAACCAACCCATGTTATTACTATTGACTACTCTTCTCAAATACAGCTTATTTTCTCATCCATCCCTATACTACTGCTGCTGGCTTAGTTTGGGTTATCATCTTCCCTAAAAAACTACTTCCAGTCTATTAACTAAATTATCTCCATCTAGTATATCCCAATGACATGACTAGAATTATCTTTAGCAAATAATCCAACTTGCCTAAAAACCTTCAAAGGTTCCACAATGACACAGTGAAAAGTCCTAACTCCTCAGTACGACAAACAGGCCCTCCATAAGTGATTTCAACCATCCCTTCCCATCTACCTGACGCTCCAGATATGTGGTTCCACCAAACCATATTTCACTGTGTCTATCTAAGCAGTACCCTCTGCCTAGATCATCAGTTCTCCTTCTTCCATATGAAGAACGATTCAAAGCTGTTGTTACCTCCTCTGGGATCTTCTCAACACCTGTGCACTTTTAGCAGTTCTCCTCTCAAAGCTTTCAAATCAGTTTGAATATGTTTCTATTCTAGCACTTACACTGCACTGAAGATATTTACTCACATGTCTGTCTTCCTTACTACTTCTGGAAAACAAGGGCTATTTTATTATTTTTTGGATTCTTACCATCAATTATTACAATACCAGATAAATAAGATTATATCCTTAAAAAGCGCTTGTTGAAGGAATGAATGGATGCTTTTGCTGAGCAAAAAAATTAAAAACCTAAATGCAGGTGTGCAGGTGTGGATAAGTAACAAAATAAAAGAACGATAAAGAGATGCAAGCTGCATTTTAAGGTTTCTAACTAAAGAACATGTACAACTCAATACTTTTCTAAAAACACTTTAATTTCAGGAATCAAAAACTGCTGCTTCCATGTAACTTTACCTACTTAACTTTATCTTTTGGAAAGAAATATTTTCATGGTAAAATTCTAAAAACAGTTCTGACAACGGTAAGATGGAAAAAAAGTAAAAACAATGGAATCAACTACTAATGGTTTTATACAGTCAAACTATTTTTCATGAAGTTTTCAGACAACTGTTACTTACTTAAAATAACTTACCCATACTGTGGTCCTCCTGTTTTAATATCTCCTATAGTGACATGAACATCATCCTCATCATCATCACTGTCACTATCACTATCGTCTTCAGTCTCGGTCACTTTCTACAACAACATACACAATTATAAAATACCTTAAATAATCCATTTCACCATCTAATATTAGTTACTGGAATATATATTTATTGTTTTTTTGAGATACAGTGTTAAAGAAAAAAGTTATAGGCTCATAAGGCTGCCACCTATTTCAACACATTTATAATTTTGATGTTCTACCTGATAAAAAGGAATAAGAATACGAATAAAGAAATAACACCTCTTTCAGCATTGTCTTTTTGTAAATAATCCTTCATGTACTTTTTTTTTTCTAATCCCTTAGAGTTTCCAAAATGCAGCTGCAAAAAGGGTAAATTTGTACAAAATAAGTATCTGAAGAATTCTTTGTAAAAAGAGTATGAAAGTAAGAGGAAAGCAATTTTAAGATTCATGATTAAAATTCATCAAATAGTAAAGAGTAGCTCGACTATTTCTGGCATTTACTCATACCTAGAAGAGGCCCTATATGCAAATGGTTGAGAGAATACCTTATTTCTATCTGCATAAAAGTTGGGCCACTTAAGCAGACTTTATTTTGGCTCCAAAAGGCTTAGTTACATAACAGTACATAAGTATATCACCTAGGCAAAATACTTTTGCGTATGCAAATTTAAACTTGCAGAGTATTTTTAAGAATTAAGATGTTAAAATATTCATAAGACTAATGATATCTTCATCCCACAAAATATTACTTTTAACAGGCATGGGGTCAGGAACTCTTATATTTAAAAATATTTGCTAAAAACCCATGACATTCAAACTTAGGTTATGGGACTCAATGTCCACTTTGAAAATCAGGCTTACTATAATCTAACCCTACTGACCATTCAGTTCCTTGAAAGCACTAAGCATCAAGCCTTTGCACATGCTACGTGTCCTCTGAAGCTCCTTTCCACTATTCTCTTCCTCAATAGTCCCTACACATGCTTTTCATGGTACCAGATGAGGCTGAAGATGTAAGAGGGGGCCAGATCACACAGGACACCAAAGGTCATGTTAAAATTTGGCTTTGTTCCTAAATGAACTAGGAAGCTACTGATAAAGATTTTAAAAAGGAAAATGACCAGATCTCAAAGCCTTATGTTACCGGTTTTGGTACGCCGTTTTCAGTAGTTTCATCTTCAATTCCAGATGGAGGATTAGCACTACAAACAACGAATGTCAGGTATTACTTTTCAAGAGTACAGATAGCTTATACTAGTATTTTTAACTTTTCAACTAAGTCTATGTCTAATAAAGTTTCCTAAAATTATTGTCCCCTCTGGATGGTAAGAACAAAGATGGTAAAAACTGCCTGTCACTCCGTTACATAAAAACAAGTACAATCATTGAAAGAAGAATGGAATTGCTTCCACAATTTGTTAATGACTTGCATTCCAACAGTGGGCTGTTTTGTTTTGGTGTGTTTTTCTTTTTTACATCTTTAAATATGCAGCACACTTAGTCTATCTTACTTATCGTAAATTTTTCCTGACTATCCACTATGTGCCAGGTACTGCTGTAAATGTCCAGGGCTATGTAATATACAGCCTTCTCTTTTCCCTGATGTGCAGGGAATTCAGATTTGTGATACCATCACATTAACTCTCTTAATATGCTTCTTTCTGGTTGTTTCATCGACCTTACTAGACATGTGCCCATTGTTGCATAAAAAATAAAGAAAATTGTAAGATTAAAAAAAAAAATCTTAATGCAAAACTGTCCTATAATTTCGTACTAACAAGGAGCTCCAGACCTAATTTTGATAAATTAAAAAATATTTTTTAAGGTCAGGTAAGACTTGAATTCACCCTTTCAATTTTCAATTTAACAAAATTGAGCGTAACAATAAACATTCCATTCTCATGTGGCCATTAATCATCAAACAACAATTCTAGCATTATAGTATAATTGGTTTCTTGTATTTTTAATAATTATGATTTAGACTATGGGAATTAGCCATGAACTCATTTACATATAAAGAAACTGAAGTACAAAGCAACTAACTAATTTGGCCCCCAAGTCTCACAATTATTTAGTAGCATTTCTAAGAAAAATGCCTAGATTTTGACATAGCAGAGCTCCTTTCATTAGATTTCTGCTGATCTTCTTTAAATTTCATTTTATGTCAGTTTCTATATGAATCAATTTACCCTCTACAGTAGTATTTTAAATATTATCTCCAAATAAAGCAAAATCATGAAAGGTAAAAACAGAGAACTTATCTCCTATTAAATTTCCATTGTTCTATTGCTGGACTCAAGAAAATAAATACCCAATTATAATTCTTCAGAACATTTACTTCCTGTCTAAATAAGCTTCCTGACGGCCAGAAACAAGTTCAGCTTGCTTTTAGTATGGCACAAAACAGTACTGTTACTATGTTTAGCCAAGACTTGAATAGATAAAACAATAAAATTGAAGAGTGTAATGCAATGGTTAAGAACATAAACCTGTTGTTGTCAAGTCGATTCCGACTCATAGCAACCCTGTAGGACAGAACAGAACTGCCCCATAGTTTCCAAGGCTGTAATCCTTAAGGGGAGCAGAATGGCACATCTTTCTTCCGTGGAGCAGCTGGTGGATTCAAACTGCCGACCTATCGGTTAGCAGCCGAGAGCTTTAACTACTGCACCATCAGGCAATGAACTAGTCACAAAGAAGCTTGGGCAAATTCTAATAGCAGGAACTCAGGTGGGACAATGATGTATCAAGCTAGAACACAGGTTTGGCAGAGATCTCTGACCCAATAGACCTACTCCTTCAGAAGTTTGGCAGCCCTGGTGGCACAGTGGTTAAAAGCTTGGCTGCTAACCAAAAGGTCAGCGGTTCGAATCCATTAGCTGCTCCTTGGAAACCCTATGGGGCAGTTCTACTGTGTTCTATAGGGTTGCTATGAGTCGGAATTGACTCGATGGCAAAGGGTTTGTTTGTCTTTTTTGGGGGGGAGTTTTAGAAGTTTTAATTCTCCATCATCATTAAAATGTTAGAAACATGATAAAGTTATATTTTTCTATAAAAATGTTTAAGGGTAGATTTTTTTCCATGAGATGAAATAATTCAATTGCCCTCCACTGAGTTTTTGACATGATGCTCAGGGAAAGTAGAAAGCCTCTCTCCAATAAATTTAATTGCATTGTCTATTAGCGAATTAAAATAAAAGAATATCCAATACAGGAAGCAAGATTTGAGAATTGTAGCAAGAAAATTAATAAAAATAAGTGAAATAAGGATTACTTCATTAAAAAAGGTGTATTTGATTGTGAATTTATACCCTGTAATCAGTTAACTTCTTAATCAATTGAAAAACAAGGTACAAAGAAATACTGAAGCACCTTCATACCTGGGACCCAGTGCTTTAACTCTTCAAAACACTTAATGAGAAGATATTAAAAAAAAAAAAAAGTAGACAACTCAATATTAAAAATGTTAAGGATTCAAGTGATTAAAACCATGGAAGAAGCCCACCAGCTCTATATACTAATCCCAGCTTTGTGGTTAGTTGAAATTAGGGTTAGGAACTGGGCTCAACAGAGAAGTTGGAAATTGAAGTACAAAGCAACTAACTGGGTTTGGCCTAATTCTCACAATTACGTAGCAATAGTTCTAAGAAGAATGCCTAATTTTATTAGGATCAATACAGAAGTTTCAAAACTAAATCTTAAAATTTCAGATGGTATAACAATCGAGTGGAAAAAAAAATCTTGCAAAATAAGGGATAATATTTTTGGGTGAGGAAGAATACTCTAATTTCAGCTCCTCCTAGTTCTACATTATTTCTCACTTCTTCCCTCCATCCACTTTATCTCATAACAACTTTATTAAAATTCACATACCATACAACTCACCCATTAAAAGTGTATAATTCAATGGTTTTTAGTATTTCAGACTACTACAACCATCCCCACTACCTAATTTCAGAACATTTCATCGTCACCGCCCCCCAAAAAAACACATACCATTGAGTCACTCCTCATTCCCCTCCCCCACAACCCCAGCATCACTAATACACTGTCTCTTTGGATTTGCCTATTCTGAGTATTTCACGTAACTGCAATCATACAATTATGTGGACCTTTGTGACTAGCTTCTTAGCATGTTTCCGAGGTTCATTCATGTGGCAGCATGTATCAGTATTTCTTTTCTTTTTATTGCCAAAACAGTATTCAATTGTATAGCTATACCACATTTTGTTTATCCATTCATCAGCTGATAAATCCTTGGGTTGTTTCCATTTTCTGGTCATTATGAATAATGCTGCTGTGAACATCTGTGTACAAGTTTTTGTGTGGATGTATGTTTTCATTTCTCTAGCTGCAACACACAACTGCTAAAGTATCCTAGGAGTGGAATTACTGGGTTATATAGTAACTCTATGTTTTTAACTTTTTGAAGAACTGCCAGACTGCTTTCCAAAGCAGCTGCACCATTTTACAATCCCATCAGTAGTATATGAGAGTTTCAATTTCTCTATAGTGGCACCAAAAACTGTTATAATGTCTTTACTGTAGCCATCCTAGTGGGTATAAAGTGGTATTTCCTCCAATTCTAAACACAAATATTCTTTAGAGTTTCTTTTTTTAAGAACCCCTCTACCCCCACTCCCATTATACAACATTAAGGCATCTGGTAATAGTCAGCATATCTATGCATTTGTATGTGTGAACTGTTTCGGAATGTAGATTAAGTTCCTGACTCTTTGTGTATGTTCTGTACGTGATACTTGTACCTTTCTAGCAATCCATCAGGGAGAATCAACATTCTCACAGATTCGTTCATTTCTTTTTAAATTTAAATAAATATAAACCATATTGAAACTACAACCAAAGTGCATACCATCAAAAATGATAATAAACTGTAAAAGCAGGAATCTTTTGGTACACTTATTTACAACATTTTTTTAAAATTAAGGTTATAATCTTTCTTAGCAGTCTTATGATTATACTATATATTACAGCATTGTTGTTAGTTGCCGTTGAGTTGATTCTGGCTCACGGCCACCCCATGTGTGCAGAGCGGAACTGCTCTAAGGTTTTCAGGGCTGTGACCTTTCAAAAGCAGCTCACCAGGCCTGTCTTCCAAGGCACCTCTGGGTGGTTCGAATCACAAACCTTTCGGCTAGTAATTAAACACATAATCATTTGCGCTACCCAGGGACTCCCCTATAGTACACCATATACTTCATTAGGACTAAAAAGTTACTAGTGAAAACTTACAAACCCTAACTTGAAAAACTTTGCTCCCTTAGCTGCTAACAAACAGAAGTGGTATAAGATTAAGTCCTGAAATAAGAATAAACCCTTAAGGAAGGATTCAAAGTCTTCCAAACTTTAGTCAAAATTTTGTAATCAGGCCAATGATTAAAATAATTCTGACAATTTGCTGACAGAACCACTGCATCACACACCTGCTTAAGTTTATCAACAGGATATTTCACTAACCTGGCATTTTCTTCTTCTGGCCTTTCAACTTCATTTTCATCTACCAAGAAAAAAAAATAATAAAATAAAATAAATAAGCAAACCACTCTTAAAGAAACTAGTATTACGAAAATCTGAAGTGATCATCACAAGCACTAACCTAGGTCCTTTGCCATATCACTGTGCACATGCACGTCCCATGGGCCTATAAGCACATCCAAAGTTAGATCACCTTATAATCATTTAACAGATAAGTCTTCTACGGAAAAAAAAAAACCACCTCTAAAAATAAGCTTAGTTTAATAAGTATCGTAAGCTATCCAGATATTTTTCGAAAGAAAACCTACACATTCCCATTTCAGAGAGTATTAGCTTGAATGCTAAATCTTATGACCAAAGATAAGGAATTTATTTTACAACTGTATCAAAGTTTATCCAAGTCACATCATCAAGCAGCAGCATGGTACACAAACGTGCACTTTTACATCACACCTCTAAAGCTAATCAAGAATATAAATTTTAGGCAAGGAATCAACAATAACTTTCAAATCTGGTGTCAGTAACAGGCAAGAAGAACTGACTTAATGAAAGTTAAAAACCACATGCCATGCCCTTTTGAAGAGGGAAGCACAAGATGCATTAAATTTGAGAAAAATACGAGATGATATTGACTACTATCCTACTATTCTAAAGGACCTGAAGTACTTCTATGATATGGGTTAGAGCACTCTCTCAAAAAAAAAAACAAAACAAAAAAAAAACTTCACCTTAATGCAGGGAACGTTCAGGGTTTTCTTTATGGGCCATAAAATGTATTCCATCTCTCTTTTTAAATTATTTTTAAAGCACGACTTTCAGACAAGGAGGTACCCTTGCAGGTGCATTCCATACAAACTGACCATTAAGAAACAAGACGTTAGTTTTGCAGCATTAACTTTATTTAGCTATTACTACAAAAAGACTATTTCTAAAAGAAGGGAGGAACAGGAATATTATCCTACAGCCAAGTGGCAAGAAGCGACACACCAACACACCTCAGAATCGATATAAAAAACTGGTGTAATGAGCGCGGAGGGGAGACGGCCGAGTAGTGCCACTGGAGACTTGACCGGGCAACGGCCCCGACCCCCAGCCGCCGGCGTCGGAGGGCCCTGTCCCCAGCCGCGGCAGGGTGGGTGCGTGTTGGGGGCGTAGGCTGGGCGGGGGGAGGCCGAGGAGAACGGAAGCGGGGCGTGGGGTGGTGCACAACTCGCTCGGCCTAGATCAGGCCCAAGCCGGCGGGCTAAAGAGCCCAGCACGCCGGCCTTTTGCGGGCCGGGAAGGGAGGCCTGAGAAAAACCGGGAGACACAGGGACAGGAAGTTCCGTACCGCCATAGAGCCACTCTTCTTCCTCATCCCCTCCGGTCCCGCCGCTCAGCTCCGACACTAGGCGCTCGACCTCGCCGGCCGACATGGCCGCCCCGAGCACAACTTAAAAGCAGCGATCAACAGCCCCCTCAAACCCCTTCCCCGGCCTCGCTGCCCAGGAGCGCGAGAGAGGTGCGAACCCGGCAGCGAGTGAACGAAGAAAGCACGCGACTCAAACCCAGGGAAGGCAACGAAGGCCGCAAAGCCGAGGAGCCCAGCTCAGGTCAGCCTGCGCAGGCGCAGCAGCACCCGAGCCGCACGGCATCTCTCCGTGGCTTAGCTTCCGCGGCGGCCACCTGGGCCTCGTCGCGCATGCGCCCCGCAGTTGGCCCCGCCCCTACGGAAGCCCGCATTGCTTGTTAGCGTGGCTTTTCTTTTTGGCGTTCTGCTTCTGCTCGAGTTTTCCTCCCCAGCCTTGATTTTAATAAGCCGTATTGTGTTTGCCGAGAAGTATGCCATTGTTCCCTTCTGCCCTTGATGCTTTGTCTTCCCAACCCTTTCTTTTTTTAAAATTTTCAGAAAGGCGTTGTTTTATTCTTTACAAATTTTATCAGCTTTATTAGAAAATTTGTACTCATTAGTCCCATTTCTCAGAGAAGAAATAATTCATGCCCACTTTTTTGAAAAATTAATTTTAGAAGCAAACAAAAGCAAACGCTAGTGTATGAATAATACATTCTCTTTCTTAAACACAAAAAACGCGCGCGCGCGCGCGCACAAAACACCAGCATTACGGTTAAGGTCGAAACAAGTACTTAAGTCCACTGCCCTCCTCTCCAAAGTAACCGTTGTTATGTTTGATGCACACCTTTATGAAATTTTCTTTACTTCACACGTATAGTACAGTTTTGGTCGGGCAACCCGAAGTTGGCTGGTCTTAGTACTGTTTGTTATCATTCTGTAACTTGCTTTTGTTTTTTAACACGGCAGTGTCTTAGAGTTTTCATGTTAGTAGTGGCGCAGTGGTTAAGAGCTATGGCTGCTAACCAAAAGTCAATAGTTCGAATCCACCAGCTGCTCGTTGGAAACCCTACGGAGCAGTTCTACTCTGTCCTATAGGGTCGCTGTGAGTTGGAATAGACTCCACAGCAATGGATTTGGTTTTCTGGTTTTATATATAGAACTATGTCCATTTGTAAGTATTTCGTAATATTCCATAGTATGAGTATCACAATGAGAATGTAGCTATACCCCTGTTGGTAAACATTTAGATTGCTTTCAACTTTTCATTTTTACCACACACACGCACACACACACACACACAAAAAGTAGAATGAAGATCCTTGCAAATGATTTTTTGCGGATTTGTACAAGTGTTTCTCCAAGATAGATTGTGAATTATGTGATTTCAGTTTAATACAAATAATAATAAAATAATCTGTATTTTAATAAATAATGCCAAATTTTCAGGCCACTTTTGAGAACATGTCTTTCAAGGAAAAGACAAAACCAGACTCATAGTTCTTAACTGTAATTAGGTAGTTGCATGACCTAGGGTAGTCAAACTATGTTTTACTTTTTGCATCTGTAAAATGGGAAAGCTGAATAAGATGATCTCTAGGGTCCCCTTAGAAAGAAAGGCCTGGCCATCTACCTCAAAAATTAGCCAGTTAAAACCCTGTGGATCACAACATTCTGATCCACAACCAATCATGTGGATGGTGCCGGCAAGGGGAGCTTTCATTTCTTTGTGCATGGAGTCACCTTGTGTGTCTGTGTGTGTATGGATGGGGGGGGAGGGGACTACTTGACTGCAGCTAACAACGAGGTCCCTTTCTGTTCTAAAGTTTTCAAACTGAACACTCACTTTTGAGCAGAAAGAAATCGGTTTTAGTGTTACAAATCTAGCAATGGGCTTTCTTTCTAATCAATAAATAGTTTTTTTTCATTTATTTATTTAATAGTCATTGACTATCTGCAGTATTTAAGAATTTGGAAATTACAGACATGAGTAAAAAACAGTCCCTGTCCTTAGAAAGCTTTCAGTTTATCGAGAAAGAAGGATGGTAAATAATTAACCCTCCTACAAGGGAAAAGGCTGATGGACCATAATAGAAGTACAAGTGAAGTGTTTATAAACCACAAATACCACACCATCTCATGTTATTTAAACAGACCATGTGGTCTTAATCCCCCGTACATGGGGTTGCCATGAGTCTGAATCGACTGGAGGACAACAGCACAACAACAAACTTTGAACACTCCTCTACCTGCTATTCCCAGTCTCCCTTATTTACTGAGGATAATCTCTTGCATCCTTCTAAATTCTGTTGAGGTATAATGCCCTTTGTGAAATCTTTTATGAATCCCACTTCACATCCTCTCATTTATTTTTTTATTCAATAAATATTTAGAGAGAGTCTACCAAGTGCCAGTTACTATTTAGGCTCTGTAGATTCAGTAGTTAGTAAAACAAAGTTATTTCTTTCATGGAGCTTTCATTCTAATGAGGGAGACAGTCAATAAATATGTAAACTCATAACACATCCCGTGGTGGTAAGGATTATGAAGAGTAAGCAGGATAGGAGGACCCAGAGTGGAGTGATAAAGAGGGATAGGGTTCAATTTTATATCAAATGGTCAGGGAAAGTCAATCTCACGAGGTGATATAAGAGAACTGAACGGAGCAAGAAGTAAACCCTGTGGGTTTCTGGACGCATAGACTATCAGACAGAGGGAATAAATGCAAATACTCTGAGGCAGAAGAATGCTTGGCATGTTTAAAACCAAACCCATTGCCATCAAGTAGATTCTGACTCACAGTGACCCCGAAGGAGAGAGTAGAACTGCCCCATAGGGTTTCCAAGGCTGTAAATCTTTTACAGAAGCAAACTGCCACATCTTTCTCCCTCAGCTGGTGATTCGAACCACGGACCTTTCGGTTAGCAGCCAAGCGCTTAACCACTGCACCACCAGGGCCCCTCTGGCATGTTCAAGGAACCCAAAAATGTAGCTGGAATAACAAGGGAGAGAGTAGCAAACAAGGTCAGAGGCATTGGGGGGTGGGTGGGACAGAGCTAATAGCTCCCTTCTGAACGCTGTTCTGTTTCTATGCATGCATCTGTAACAATGTTCAGGAATTATTTGACTGAACCTCTGTTTTCCTCAGACTCTTCACTAAACCAAGCCCTCCCTCAAACAGGCCATCTTGTGTATCTGTTACTCCTGTTCCTGGTATGGTGCCTAGCAGTTAATAGACCTTCTTGGCCTTTGCATGGCCAAGGAATGGAATAAAAGTTTTACGTGCTGTTTTCGACTGTCGTAAGGTGATCGCTCATAGTCCTGTCTTTGTCACTCTATTTCTTATTCCATGAGTCTATAATGAACTTCGATGATTTCACTGGAGAACCAGTTGCTTTTTGCTGAGGGCCTCTTTCTCCTTTCAGCTGTTTTGATATCAAGGCGTTGCTTAAACTGACCTGAAGAATTGATGAATAATAATTGCTGCATCAGAATCACCTTTATGATGGAGGTAACATTTGAACTAAGCTTTGAAAATTAAGATTTCTGTATGTAGAGAAGCCCATAAATCACTGATAACTACTCCTAAAAGACTTCTTCCTTCCTTGCTTCCAGGGTTAGTTCTTTCCTTCTGTACATTTCCTTAAAGACATCTTTTCCTCCCAGCTCACTAGGGGGAAACTCTTCAAAAGAGTTTGAAGATACTACATACAGCTCTTCTTACTTTCAAGTGTTAGAAAACCCCTTGCATTATTACCTCATCAAACTAGAGTACTCCATATATTCTGATTATATCTGTTGTCTATTTATTGTTTATTTGTGGTCTATTGATTTTTTGGGAAAAAATCTGTTGTAATATGTCTTAATCTCTGAAAGGGAGTGCTTATGACAATAGTTGAGGATCAGATAAAAGTGCCTGCTCAGTACCTAGTATATAACAAAACCAAAAAAAAAAAAAAAAAAAAACCCATGGTTGCTGAGTTGATTTCAAATCACAGTGACCCTATACGACATAGGAGAACTGCCCGCATAGGGTTTCCAAGGAGCAGCTGGTGGATTCGAACTGCCAGACTTTTGGTTAGCAGCCATAGCGCTTAACCACTGTGCCACCAGGGCCCCATTGTATATAATAAGCACTTGTAAATGTGTTTTGAATGGATGTGAATTAATGAATGTAGTAAAAACCAATGAGAGGAAAAATACAAGCTGAGCTGGGTTTTAGGCCTGACTTTGCTATTTGCTGCCAACTTTAGATATGTCCTATAATCTCACCTCAATTTTCTCTTCAGTAAATTGATATATTAAGATAACATTATGTACCCACTTCATATAGAGTCGCTATGAGTGGAAATGGACCCAACAGCACACAACAACAACTTCTTGGAATGATAACAAAGATTAAATGAGGTTTCAAATGTCAAAGCACTTGACAAATCAGAGTTAAGCAGGTGGTGTGTTGTGTTTTAGGCCTTTTTTTCCTTTGCATAACTTGAATTATTGCATATAGTAGTAGAGCTTTTCTTCCTGCCTAGGTACTTCAATGATGAATTAAACCCCAGTTTTCCATCTCTTCTGCATTCTGATGGCCTTTAACATTGTATTTTATATTGCCTGTTATTTCTGGCAAATTGCATCATCTTCTACTCAGATATACACTCTTATATAAACTTTGCACACTGTTTGAAGGTGAGAACGATGTCTTTAATTTCTGTATTCACTACAGTCTCTCTCACACTGTCCAGCACATGGAAAGTAATCAATTAATCCTTAAATTAAGTGTTGATCATGCTTATAAAAACCAAAACCAAACCCATTGACATTGAGTTGATTCCAACTCATAGCGACCCTATAGGACAGAGTAGAGCTGCCAAATAGGGTTCCAAGGCTGTAATCCTTATGGAAGCAAACTGCCACATCTTTCTCCCCCGGAATGGCTGGTAGGTTCGAACAGCCTGCCTTTTGGTTAGTAGCCGAGTGCTTAGCCACTGTGCCATCAGGTATAAACCAAAAAAACCCCACCGCCGTTGAGTCGATTCTACTCATAGTGACCCTATAGGACAGAGTAGAACTGCCCCATAGAGTTCCCAAGGCGATGAATACGGAAGCAGACTACAATATCTTTCTCCCCTGGAGCTGCTGGTGGGTTCAAACTGCCCACCTTTTGGTTAGCAGCGGAGTGCTTTAACCACTGCACCACCACAGCACTTTCTACCAGGTATGAAAGAGCTTAAAATGAGATAAAGGGAGATAAACTTG